GCGGCGAAGTCAAGGTCAGAAAGAGGCACGATAGTTGAGGCAGGAGAAGTCACGGATGAATCCGGACCTGGTGTGTCTCCGGAAGCGCGCGCAGCAGCCTGATATAACCGCAAGTGGGCGGCGAAGTCAAGGTCAGAAAGAGGCACGATAGTTGATGCAGGGGAAGTCACGGACGAACCCGGCCCTGGTGTGTGTCCCAGCGAGACTGCTGGCGGTGGCAATGGAGCTTGAAACAACCGCAGATGAGCGGCGAAGTCAAGGTCAGAAAGAGGCTCGACAATCGATAGTGGCGAGGCAGTCGATCCTGGGGAGGCAGTCGAGTGTGGCGAGGCGTCTGATGAATCCTGACCTGGAGACGAATGTCCTTCAGAGTTCTCTGACGGTGGTACAGGAGCACGAAACAGCCGTAGGTGAGCGGCAAAGTCCAGAATAGAAAGAGGCTCAACAATCGACACTGGAGAGGCAGTCGGTATTGGAGAAGCCTCTGATGACTCCTGGTCTGAAGAGTGTACTTCTGAGATCTCTGACGGTGGCACAGGAGCACGAAATAACTTTAGGTGAGCGGCAAAGTCAAGATCAGAAAGAGGCACAACGTTAACAGTCGATGCTGGAGAGACTACGGATAGATCTTGAGCTGGAGAAGGCTGTCCCTCTGGGTCGTTGTCTGACGAAGGCGCCTCAAGCGTGGCGCTTTCTAGAGCTTTCTGCGCCGCAAAGGATGCGTATTGATGGTGCTGCAACGCTTCTCCAGGCCAGCTGTTGGTAAACAGACACGGCTCTGCTTGTGGAGGGAATATTGATGCCTGACTCTGCCAAGTATCTGGCAGCTGGTGCAACTGGAAATTCTCAGAATGGCCTTCCGCAGGCCAACGAAGAATAGCTGGCTGACTCCAAGCCTCCTGTGGCCAGCTCCAAGTGGACAGCGCCTCCCCTGTCAGTCGAGGATCTATGACAGAAGAATATCCGGTCAAGGAAGTTTCTTGTCCCAAAGAAGGGCCAACAAATGGGTAGGCCTGCTGTTGCAGAGAAGAGGTCGCAAAGCCTTGACAGTCACTTGTCGTGCCCGGTACCTCAGTGTCAGGTGCCTGACCAGGGGCCGTGTAGCTGGAACCGGGCGAAGGCTCAGGTGAACTCGGCGAGGCACACCTGTGGGTGGACTCTACCTCGTTGCCTGCAGGAGAAGGATAACCTGATGGTATGGGGGTAGCTGTTGTGCTCCTTTGTTCCGGCTCACTCGGGGATGCTGGAGAGGATTCAGTTGCCTGACGGTCTCGTGCCGAATCCTCCAAGTCCAACTGCCGATGCAATTCTTCAATGAACGAGAAGGGTGTCGGAGGGTCTAATTGGGGGAAATCGTATTCGCCGGTGGGAGACAAGGACTGATATTCAGTCAGAACGCAGTCCTGGCAAACTGCTGGCCAACCTGGTGCCGAACAGAAAAGTTGACCGCTGACTGCGATTGAGCACGAGGGACAGACGTTTGTTGAAGATTCAGGATCAGATGGTGACGGGACGCTGGATGCCGCCTCGCTCTGCCTCTGTTCAATGGGCGACGATGATACCGCGGTCTCTTCAGATGATACGGTGTTGTCTGGCAAGGCCGGTGGATGAGCAGATGGCACAAACGTTACGACCGGACGTGGTAAAGCCCCCCGAGGAAGAATGGGTCGAAGACTATTCTCTGATGCTGGAGCAGCTGCGGGGGGAGGGACCACTACAACGTAGTACCCGGTCTCTGGGAACACAGTCGACCAAATACAAGTGTCTGGGGGAGAATGCAGAAGAGTTGAAAAAGCCCGACGGTGTCGCTCCCAGGCGATCTGTGGATCGTCCTTGAATGTGACCCGGCGAGTTTGTCCACGTCGATCTGCGGCACGCCGCAAAGATGATGTTTTCAAGGCACTGGGCAAGGCACTGGGCACTCCGACAGTTCTGCAAGCCTGTTTCTCAAGGAAACGTTGTTCCTTTGTCCTTGGACGTGGAGGTGGTTGAGGCCCTATTTGTCTGGCCAAGACCTTTTCGGCAACCTCAATCAAGGCTTCCGACGGCTGGGGGTGTCTGGGGAGTGGCGGAATTGCAACCCTTTTCTCCAGAAACCGTAGTCTGGCGGCTCGCGCAGCTGCTGCGCGTCTCGCCCGTTCTTTCGGTGACGGCGGTGGAGTGACAGCCTTCGGGACTATCGGTATTGGCGTCGCTGGTAGCTTTGCTTGACGTCTTTTTTTTCGACCTGTGCGCCACTCTTCCTGCGGAGTTTCTTTTAGGCCAAACAGGAATCTGGGAGGGTTCTGGATTGTTGGACGAGGCTGGATTGACACAGGAGATGCTCGCTGGCTCTGGGATTGAGCCAGTGGAATGCTCATCAGGAAATACCAGCCACACGACCCGAACGAAGCTGTCAAAGCTAGGGCAAGAACTCAGGGCAAGTAAAAGAGGTAATGCTGATGGAGAAATGTCACAATCGAAAGGGAGTGTGAGAGGCCAAGAATGGTCTCTCTTGGAGCAGAAGTTAAAGAAGATGAAAACGAGTCACTGTATCGAGGTCGAAGGAGCTCTTGATATAGGTTTGTTTTGTACAGCGGGTGGGCTGGGCTTTCAGCCTGACCACTGGCAAACACGATTAGCGAAAACGTACCTGGACACCACTTCGCCTTAGCTGGTATGATGAGACTGGCTACTAGCCGCAAGCGTGCAGTTCTGGAGCAAGGACTTCGGATCCTTGTCAAGGAAAGGTAACAAAAAACTAGCAGAAACAGCGGCGCCCCATCCGTTACCCAGCTGCCACCTTTCAATCGAGCGGACCTCGAGCCAGGATCTCGTGCGCTAGTCGCGTCGAAGGTATCAGCTGCATTCTCAGTATGGGAGTGGCTTGAGTCGAAGCATCATTCATGCAGAGCCATTGCCATTTCTCGTATGAGCGTCTTCCGATCAGCTTGAATCACGTCGGTGTCCAGTCCCGCGGCGCGACGATATTGCATGCCTTTCTCACTGCAGGGGTACGCTCCGACACGGGGAAAGGCGCCAAGCCCAGGGCTTGAGGAGCCCTGACAGCATCAGAAGAAGGCGAGGCAACAAGTACTGTGAAGAAGACCTTGAAGCGAGCACCAGTCTGTGACCAATGGTGTATGCGGCTGCATCGACGGATGGTGATTGCTGCCATGTTTGAGTGTTTCTATTGGATCGATCAGCAGAGCCGGTATGTAAGGGTTGCGGATCGATTGGACGACTATCAGCAGCGCCTGAAGAACAAATGAACAGAGACATCATGCAACTGGACGACAACCAGGTCGACCTGTTCTAGTGAAGATGTGCAGTGCAGGTCCATTGGCTCTAAGTCCCAGGCGACAAGGTTCGAGATAGAAGCGCGGAGCAATCTCCACCGGTATGTACAAGCAAAACAGGCTAGAATGAGGGGAATCTTGCTGGTGGCGGACGAAGCGAAGCGAGGCGATCAGAACTTGCCAGGGTGAATCTCCCAGTACAGTTCAATCAAAGGCAGTATGTCCTAGGCGCCTCCTGGCTTGGCCGGTGCAACCATTGCAGAAGCAGAGGGTTGGAAATCAGCTCGCTCCACAGCGCCACGGCAAACTTGGAGCATTGGGTGGCCCGGCGATCAGATCGTCCGAATCCGATTTTCCAACGCCGTGGAGCGAGAGTGTCCGGAAAGTGGAGCAAGATCTCAAGTCGGCACTGTCATTGGCGGAGAGGGCTCAATGGCATCGAGATTGCAGACGCAGGCGAATGTTTGCTGCAGGGTCAGGGTTGGCATTTGGACGAGAAATATGCACCCTGAGGAATGTGAGCGACTGGGGCCTGCTGAGACTTGCCGTGCGCTGATCAAGCGAGCGAGATTGACGGCTGGAGCGGCACGAAAGCTACCCACACCCTTGACCTGGGCGGGCTGGACATCATCTGGTCCTGAAAGGCGACCGAACAAGAGTTTTGACCATTTTTATGGATACTACAAAAGTACAGGCCAGTGGAGAATAGAGCCGAAGCCAAACCGACTCGGAGGAGACGAGTCAGCTGGCTTTTGATATGGGCAAAGGCTGAGGAAGGCACAAATTTAACGACATTGGAGGTGAAAATGACTCAGAGAAGGGCTCGAAAACGCGATCCACAGGCTGATGGAAATCTCTATCGCTCAGGCCGGTCGGTGGTGAGCAAGCAAGCATGGACCCCGGCGTGGGAAAGCACGATTGGACTCAAAGCAGCTGCTTGATCTCTCAGCCCTTGCAGATTCAAAGACAGAAGGCGGGAAAAGAAAAGTGCAATTAATACGAGGAACTAGATGGCTGCATTTGGCGCCATATTGCTGCTGCTCAGGCTGGCCTAGCTTGATGGGGATGTGTGCTGGAATTAGAGCGCAAAGACAGGGTGCTGGGGACGAGGGATAGCGAACAAACAGACCGAGCGGGACATATCTTTCAAGGATATTAACGCCACCGCAGGAGGTCATGGTCCCGTGCTCTGGGATCGCATCATAGGTTCGATTTGGTCTTGGAGGAGTCCAACAACCCGGCTGAAAGAAAACGCACGTCAAGCCACGACACGATTGGACTGGTGCCAGGAATGACCAGTTCAGGTTGCCGCTGACCTCGTGCCGTGCGACATGCGCGATTCATGCTGCGCCCACATTCACTGTCATCGAAAAGCTTCGCGAGTCAGTAGCCAGCAAATGTCGGTGGAACTGTCGCGGTTGGAGCTGAAGGTTTGAACTTTGAAGCCCGTACAGCCCGTCTTTCTTCCTTTTCAGAGGGATGTACCTGGCAGCACCTGAGACTTGGTGTGTGTCAGGACGGCAGCACGTCGCGACAATGGCTGCCTCATCCGCTATTCGCGCGGGAGAAAGACGCTAGAGGGGCACTGCATCCTAATTCCTGCTTGACATGAGGGGCGCAAGATTGCTCTTCGACGGAAGCAGCAATGAGAATGGCGCTGGACTGCATATTGCACCAGACACTGACAAGGATCTGAGATCTGTGGTGGAGTTGGCCCGGTACTCAGCTGAACAGCGCACAGTGGCCGAGCTACTGATTTGCGTCATACAAACGTCCTTACACACCTACCCCTGCTTTGCCATTGTCCACGAGTCGAGTCAGAGAGGTTGTCCCCATGCGGGACTTGGGAGGTTAATGGTGGTAGCAGGGTAAAGCATATTGTGAGGAGAATAACGGTGAGCCAAAATCCAAGGGGATTTTGGGAGCGTCCCGTGCCGGAGCTCTGGAAACTTGATTGATAGCACGCAAGCTCAGAACCACAGCAAACCTTTGGTACTGCGACGACACGGATGCCGTCCAAGAATGAACTCAGACTGGAGGAGTGAAGACGCGGGGCGTGGGAAGTACCAGAACACTCAGGCTCTGACAGGCGCGCAAGAAGATGCCAGGAGAACAGGCCACTGCAGCCCAGACGAGCAGTGGCCCAGGCGGTCCTTTGCGGGGCAGTTGTGGACAACGCCATCGGGGGATGCGGCCTTAGCCCCCGGACTTCGAGGCCGGGGTAGAACTTAGACGGTGGCACCTGCTAAGACCTCCCTTCCCTACTACTACCTAGGTAATGAGTAGTACGTCAATAGGTGGATGGAATCCCGTGCCAGTGCCACTGCCAGTGCGACTCGCTAGTTTAGGCGCGGAACGATACTCGATCCGGCTGCTCACCGGCGTCCGAAGATCCACCAGAATCGAAGCAACCCGTCTCAAACTCAACACGAGCTTGATCCGACGTCAGACACGTAGATACACATCAGCAAAATCAACACCACGCCCGGAAGGCCTCAACGCCGATTGATCCCTGACTGATCAGGAAGGTCTAGAGTCGCAGGCTGCATCTTCTTACAACTTGAACCTCGTGTTGGCCGCATCTACGCCTGCCATCCTCCAAGCCAGTCTCACTAGTCCATCCTCACTCGCTTAGATCGGAGTGCGATTGGACGTACCGAACTTGAACACAAGCCATCGCTCCTCATTGAACGGGATCTCACATCCATCTTGTTCTCCTTGCATTCGGCTTGACAAGCAATGATGGAGACTACGCCGACGTCTCGCCAACCCAGCCTTCTTATTTCCACTGGTGGCTTCGTGTTGCAACACCTCATCACTGTTGCTATCCATCTACATGGAGGGGATACTTCAAACCTCCAGATCCTGTGCCTGGACATGAAGCAGGGGGTTGTCTCGCTTGCTAGTGCTGGGCGATGGGTCTTGGCCGGATGAACACTCCTACTGTAAAACGGAGGATACCAGCGGTGAGATATTCGACAGATGCAAGCTTGCGACCAACCAACAATCAAGGCACTCCAAAGCGGCGCCTTTATCCCCGGTATCCATGACCACTGCACGGAGCATCAGCTGGTCGGCATGCCTTGAGGATCAGCCCACAACTTTGTCACCATACCATGTCTTTCACGGATACAACATTGTGAGTTCACCAGGTGCTTCTCATCCCCATGCCTTGTCACGCGAGCATGCAACGGCTACTGTGCGATCCGTGTTCTTTGACCAGCTTCACTAATGCAAACTGATGCTACTCGCTCGGTATCAGTCCCAAAGTCGAGACATTCTGTCCGACAGGCATCGTGTTCGACCCTGTTTCTCCCCAACTGGGAGTCCATCATCTGGAAACACCTCAAGTCTTGGATACCCGAACATTTCTGCGAGAGGCGGGTCATCATAACAGTCCAGCAAGCCCTACGGCCGAACGTCACCTTCTTCTCGATTGCATGTCCTAATTCGTTTAGACATGCATTGCTCATGTGCTAGTTGGCCGGCGCCACTCCAGCTCTCGAAGTAGCTCAAATTGTGAGCATTGCATACAGCCAAGGACAATGACGTCGAGCAGGTCAAGTCCATCTCTTTAGCAGCGATGGATCTGGCAATTATGACGATTCAGCTGTCGTCCTTACAGCCGGGGTTTCGTCCTGTTTTGTCCTTGCGTCGAAAAGGTAAGCAAAGGTTACGGTGGGTGTAGCAGCCAACGATGTGGCCTGGGTGATCTGATAGTGCTGTTAAAAATCGCAACAATCATGTCCTAAGTTCAAGAAAAGCCATAGAAGAATGTGTCAACTACGGACCGCCGAGGACAACGTACTCCATGTGTAAAATCTATGCAGCGGGGCTATTTCTTATTCTCGGTTAGAAAGCTCCATGAGAGCCTTAAAGGACCTCTCCAGGTGTGCCAGTTGGTTCCGTTATTTGAGAGTGCCAATATCACGCCTCTGAGATGTCTATGTTTGACTGTTTGGAAGACACTGGCGTTGTGCTCTCATGGTTTCGATTGTGAAGTGCAGCATATATTAATACATTATATGCACTCATGCAAGTCTACTAAGCAAGCGGGCTCCTTTGACGTTGAAGAAAGCCGCCAGAGACTGGATACCAATGCTGCTATTGGGAAAATGTAGTAAACGCTCGTATCATACATGATGAAATCGTCTCCCCTTTGGGAAAGCTCAACACACGCGGAAGATTCGTTGGTATCCTGTCGAATCTCAATTGTCTCACCTACCAGAGGTGCTAGGCTCAACATTGTAATTGAACAGCCAAAGGTATCGAACTCATGCCTCGTGCTCTTGTGCCTTTTTCGCAGCCGCAAACACATCCAATGTGGATGCAAGAAGAGTATATCTTTGAGGAACGATGTACACAAAGTGTCCACAAAGGAGAGAACTGAGTCCAAGGAAAACTGAAGCGGAGATAACGATGGACAAAATTGCATCTGTCGTCCAGGCTTACTTTCATCGCAAGGATTGCATAGCCGCCCAAGGTTGATTTCACATCGTTCAAGGCATGGTCAACAGGTTCCACCGTATTGCAGCAGAAACTGAAACAGATGTTTGGTCTTGAATGTCCCACGATGCCAGCAGGTCGGTCGATTTTAAGGTCCTATACAATGAGAGGCGAACTTGCTGGTGTTGAATCACTGACTCACTGCCACGGATTCTGGCTCAATGACTACCCGTGGGTTTTTGAACTTTGAGCATGGCCAAAGGCATACAGTACACCCCGAATTCTCGCTTAAGTTAAGTTTTAACAAGACTCACTAGCACCTAGAAGTGCTTACCAAGTTAGCTACTGTACTATGATGCTCTTCTAGGATTTCTGAATAGAGACTGTCTATTTTTCATGCCCTACAATTGAAGAGAATTATTACTCCTCTTGTCCTTCCATCGTGATCAGCTACGTACGTGACAGTTCAAGTTTAACCAAACATAATAGGGTTCGCATGGAAATTTTGCCTTCCCTACTCATCTGATAGAGTCACGATGTTGGTTTATCGACACTGCATGTTACTTTTACCTCAGGCTTCATCTGGCCGAGTTTTCAGCGAAGGCGCGGTGGTTGCCAGTTTGCCTGCCACTTTCCATGACAGCACGCAATTTCAAACTTCAAAGTCGGTCTATCAGCACGGCGAAGGTTTTTGTACTATTTGTCTCACTTTGCTTAGGTACCACTTAGATGTCGAGGTTGCTGACCTTTTGCATCTAGTAGTTGCATTGACGGTTTCTTAACGCATTTCTCATGAGCTAAATGATCCGCCATACATCACAGCCCAGACAAAATATCGACCATTATTGCAGTGATTGCAGTTTCACCTGGACTCCCATATAACATTCGGCCGTAACATGGCAGGGGAAGTGAACAAGGTCACAAGCAACCTGGCTGGTTGACGAGGGCCCGGGTTAACACTGATGTTGCACAGAAGGATACCAACACACTACACGTGTTGGCAGTACGAGCGGCGCTAAGATTGCGTGCGCCCTGACTTTCCTACCCCGGGAAGAGCGCATGTTCTAACTCCTCATGCCCCTAGGAAATAAGTGACCCTAACATGCGTACCGACATTTCTGAGTGGAATGCAACGCCCTTTCTGCCAGCAAAATGATCCGGGCAAGGCGATTATCCTTGCTCGTAGACTGGATCAGCCGCACCTACTCTGGACATGGACGGTGAAACATCAAGACCATCTCGCCAGCCAAAACAAAATGCAGAGCATCGAATCACATCCCCCCGGATGGACACGACCCTGGCTGTTCGTCGAATAACTTGCGGGGAGAATTACTCCTACCAGCCAGCCCGGGGCTTCACATCAACAGCTGGGCGCTCTGAGGAGCTTACATGGTTGGCTCTTCACTGTTCACGAGTGTGTCAGTCTCATGTTGGGATGAGACAATGAGACTGAGACTGTGAGACTGGGACATTGGAACTAATGAGACTGGGAATGGCCCTGCAGCCATGCATTTGCCAGCACACTTTGCGCTCTGTGTAACAGGCTGTTGATTGGTTGTCCATGGTCTGGAATGAACAGACGGTCCGCGCCACGGCCCTTGGGTCGCCCAACGGACTGGCCAACACTGCCACGCGGTTTTGGGGGGGCTTGTGGTGGTGTGTGGTGAAGAAAGTTGGATGCGTTGACAACTCTGTGACTTGGTTCTTCGAGGGCGACAGCAGCACGATTTGTTGCCTGATGTTCAATGACCGCACTTGTTGATACGAGGCTGTATTTGTCTCCTGGGCTTTCTGGTTTCTGCAGTGGCTTGTTAGGGCAGGGAAGCTGAATTGTTCAAAAACTGACTTGAATCAGCACGTCTTTTGCGTCATGGATCGCTTCATGCGTGCCAGACGTGTCAAATATTTGCCCGCAAAGCAGCGGCTTTCAGGCTTGACGGATTTGCATGACGACGGCGATGAGCTCGAACGGCTTGGCTATAAGTTCGAGCGCGCCATCAACACCTTGTGCAGCCAAATTCGATCACGGTCAACTCATTACAGGAGGAAACGGTCGCTTAACCGATTCCAGCGAGCTTACGAAAATGTCGACAAAACACTTCTGGTCTTTCTCGTTGCTCGATGGGGTAGCTACATCCTCGACATCATCAGTGAGCAGCTCTGGGCAGAGTTCGGTGATCACTACAGATCTCTTCTGAAGAACTATCCTCGACTTCCAGATGTTGGACGAGCAATCTGCGAAAAATACAAGGACAATATCGAGAATCTCCTCAATACTGCGGCGAAACTATCCGAGGTGGAAGCCGAGGACCAAAAACATTCCGAACAACTGTCGAGCACAAAACCGTGGTCAAAGTCCCCGCTTCCAGATAGCTCAAAAGAGTCTTCGCAGAATCAGGGGGCGCAGGGAGCACATATCTGTCCTGATCCATCTTTATCCGACGTCCTTTCTTCGGACCAAACAGCAATAGCAGCCTTGGATGCTTCGAGTCCAAAGGCGGCGAGGACGAAAACACTGGATCTTCGACCCCCAAAACCGGCACCAGCTATCACAACGCCAGCCTTGCAAGGAAGTAATAGGTCATCGGAGATGCTGGGTCCTTACTTACAGGTACAACAACCGACTAGCACTGTAGCTGCTTGCATGGGAGATGGCTTTGGTTTCCCGATGGTGATGCCTCTTCAGAGTGAAGATACCGTGTCGTTCGTCAATCCTGTCCAGCAACAAAACCTCGTTCAACAGAGTTCAGGCTTCCTGCACACCCCGAGTGAGGAGACCTATGGCCAGCAAACCCCCCTGGACCAACCGAGCAACATGACTCAAAGGGGCAACTTCAATGTAGCATCCGGTTCAATGAGCTTCCAACTACAAGAGAACCAAATGATGTTCCCACTTCTGAAAATGATGCTGATTTTGTCCGGAACTGCAACTGAGACGGTTGTTGAAGCCAATGACGATGGATTCTCCATCTCCAAGGTTCACTTGTTGAACAATGGTCAGGTTGTCGGAATAATCGAGGTGAGCCCGGTTTTGTCAACAGTCATCACCGAGCACACTTATCCACACTATCGCTAAATGAGCGCTTCTTATCGACGGAAACATCGCACCTCAGCTCCTGCTGCGATAATCTCTCGTTGACCTGGCTGTCGGAAAAAGATAACATGACCCTTCTTCTCTTCCCCAGTGTCGATCTCAAACAACGTCTGGTATGAGGCACGGTCTGTGATGGATATTCGGCCTCTTTTGCTACCAAGGTTTATGAGAGCGGCGCAAACATTATTCTCAAAGCTTGTCCAGGGGTATTGGGAATGTTGGTTTAGAGGGGTCGGATCGAGCGATACTTTGGCGATTCGTAGCTGCAGGCTCTCATCAGGCCAATGCGCATTTGTCATACATGGGTGTACCACCTTTTCTTGAACAAGTCGCCTCAATTTCATCTCATCCTCGACGTCCTCCTCATTAACTGGCAGAAGTTGGGGATTGCTCGACATCGGCTCGCGCTTTTGTCCTAGGGAAACAGGATATTCGGTGAAAGGGGGCAGGGAGATGCACAGGCGGACGTCAAGGGTCCGAGACCAGCGTAATCCTGAACTTCAGAAATGGACGGCCGTCGAAAGCAATAGTTCAACCTGGTGGACTGTATCTTGCGTGCCATGTTGAACAACACACTTCGCAGGCATGTGCCGTGAGGGGGAGCGGACTTGGTGTGACCCTGACACGTGAATCCTCGATTACAGTAGTATCACAGTCCCGCGGTTCCAAGTTCATGGCACGTGATGAGTTGTGCCTTGGAAAACAAGATATCGGAGAAATAGCGATTCAGAGGAAACTTCGCAAGTAACACTGACAGCAACATCTTTGAGGAGGCCAGCAGGGTGTCCCTATTATAAGAACAGAACCCGCGAAAGTGTCCCTCGAAACGTGGAGCGAAGCATGTCGGAGCGGTGGGCCATGCATTTAATAATAAATTCGACGTCAATGGGACAGCAAGTGTTTCCACTCGATTGGTGCACCGTTGTATCATCCCAGCATACATGTGCCCATAAGCTGGACTGGTGTGGGGACTGGAACGTTGTATACGTTTGTGTCATGATACAACGACACTGGCACCGTTGAGACAAGGGCCTGAGATACTCGAACGAGCGGGCGGTGCGATTGGACGTACCACAGGAATGCTACTCATATTCCTTCTTGCGAAATGACTTTGAGCAGTAGCTTACGTGGGGCATACCGGCTTGGAGACGCTGGAAGCTTTTGCTGCAAGCAATGTCCCTGCTCGTGACAGCAGCTCAGTGCCATTCCATGTTGACACTGCAGGAAAATAGCAAGCTTTGGTTCGATTAAGAACTGCAGATGACTTCCGGGTTACTGTGTCAACCCGGGGATATCATTGTTTCGTGACGCTGGCCGTCAACGACCTCTTGGTTATCATTGGAATGGATAGCGTTTCTGGTCTCACATTGTTCAAACAGGCGACTTCGGCCTGCGGCGAAAGCCACTGCAAGGATCCAAGGAGGAAGGGGGAAAGAACTGACTGACACTCTCCTGGTATGCAAGCAATCGTTGGGTCATCCAACTGCGGCCAGGAGTCCTTGATCATATGCTCCAAGCCTCAAGTCCCAGACATTCATGCCTCAGCGTCTCATTTACCATCTGAACTTCTGGCGAATCATCTCACTATATCCCAACTTACACCATCACTTCGTTCCTGTCCGGGGGATGTGGGTGCAACCCTATTTCTCCGAACAGTCAAAACTTGGTACGATGTTGAAGTGGACCGGATTCTGTGGGAGTATTCGACCATGGCTTAAACTGTGCCCGGCTAAAGGGTCAAGGGAGAACGGCCATGCATACAAGCAAATTTTGGAAAAATGCAACCCGCTGCTGCCCAGTCTCACGGGGACGTACCATACATGCTTTGGGGGATTGGAAGGACCAGCATTTGACAAGGCGCGCGTTGCATAGAGACCGCTCTGAACTCAAGGATGTCAACAGAGGAGGAATGCATGCTCTCTTCACCGGTTGGTGGCTGTTTTCGAGAAGCTGATGTTGAGCTTTCATCCCAAGCGACTCCTGCCGCGCGAGGCTCTGGCACCGCAAGTTTCCTGGCGCATTCACAATGGGAATGGATAAATGGAAAGGCGACATGACAGCACATACCCAAGCCGGGGGGAATTGGTACACACCCTTTACCGGTTGGTGGCTGTTTCTAGACCTGCTGACGTGGCGTGCAGTGTACAAACTCAAGCGGCCCTTACCACGGGAGACTTTGACACTGCATATTTCCTGACACATCGACTTCGAGAAGTGATAAATGGGAACGCGACAACACAGCACATACCGAAACCACGCAGGAAGTTCTCCGCCCTTCACCAGCCAGCCAATTTTGGCACGGTTGCCCTCGCGACGTTGAATACGAACGCCAGGGCGCAGAGGTAGGTGCACCCCCTGTGTGTGTCAGTGTCAATCAGTCAAAAAAATGTCACTTGACACTACGCCCTGCCGAGCAGCGCTTTGACCCCGGATATGCGCTGTCCTTTTACGGCTCAAGGCCTCTACAGGCGACAACGTCAAGGTTGTCTATTACCAACACACAATCTATTGATGGACCAGTATTGCTACTGGGAAGAGTGGGAATGGCTGTGTTCTATCCGCGGTTACCCGGTCTGACAAGGTGAAGTGCTGCATGGATGCTATGTAATTTTGGGTTCAAGGCGTGTATCCCCATCCTATGCGGGCGGGGGCTATGTTTGTTTGTTGACTACGCTATGATCTGCTTCCCGAGTCACTTATGCAGCCTATTGCGGTAGGTGCGGTAGAGGCCAGACCCTTCGAGCGTCCAGCGACACTGGAGTCGCAACCGGGGATTTGATGCCCACATTCAGGAGAAAGTGATACTAGTGCGACTTTATCAAGCCGACCATGCAGCTGAGCATACGGGAGATACTATGGTCCCTTTTTCTTCATGGCGATTAAGACGCTTATGTATAGTACAATGTTCATGCGATTAAGTAAAGCAATAAATAAAAGTTGGAAAAAGCGGCGCCTCCAAAACCTCTCATCTCCATCAACACCTGAATCCAAACGAAATATAACCGTGCCCTAATGCCTCCCGTGTCCGAGAGTATTTGTGACAATGAATTGAAAGAAAATGTTGCCTCTAGGGCCCCATCACGGACCGCCGCAGCTGAACATCACGGTGTTTAAGTAATCCTCACACCACTGTTGACAGTGGACGAAGCACCTTGGGAGATCGGGGTTCCTTGCCACAGGACACAGTTGTTGCTATTGTTGACATAGAAGACCGTGCACCCGGCCGTCGCGGCACACGCCTCGGCACAGGTGCCGTAATCGTAGCCGGGCCATATGGCCATCGAGCGAGTGGTCTGCCACCAAACGCCGCAGTATCTGTTGAATTGGACGCCATTGCTGGCGGTGACTGGGTCACTCTGATCCGCGCAAGCTCCCGTGGCTCTTGGAATGACGGCAGCTGTCGTGGTAGTCGTGGTGGTGGTGGTTTGCTCTGTAGTAGTGGTGGTTGCAGGAGAAGTGGTGGTCACCTCAGCGGTCGTAGTGGTGGTTACCTCGCTGGTAGTAGTGCTGGATACCTCGCTGGCAGTAGTGCTGGATACCTCGCTGGTAGTAGTGGTTGCCTCAACGGTAGTGGTGAAAGTACTAGAGGTGGTGGTCGTCACCTCACTGGAAGTAGTGC